GACACACTGACACAGCTCTCTCTCTGTCCCCGGCAGTCTCTATTGATGTTGATGGACAGTCCTCTGAACCGAGCAGGCCTCCTCCAGGTTTTTGTCCACACGGAGAAGAATGCCCTGATCGAGATCAACCCCCAGACCCGCATCCCTCGCACCTTTGACCGCTTCTGCGGGCTCATGGGTAAGTCCCCTCCCCTGCCCTCTCTCGTCCTCCCCGTCCGCGTCCCCGGCCGCTCACCCCGCCTGCCCTCCTCCCTCGCAGTCCAGCTGCTGCACAAGCTCAGCGTCCGGGCGGCCGACGGCCCCCAGAAGCTCCTGCGGCTCATCAGGAACCCCGTGTCCGACCACCTGCCGCCCGGCTGCCCCCGGATTGGCACCTCCTTCTCCGCCCAGGGGACGGCCCTGTCCCCCCGCGCCCTCGTCCCGGCCGAGGGCCCCGCGGCGTTGGTCATCGGCGCCTTCGCACACGGAGCGGTGAGTGAGGGGGGGTGGGGTGGACGTCTGGGGTCGCTTAAGAAGCACCAGGGCTGGGAGTCAACGTGTTCCTCCACCGGCGGGCTAATGGGATTCTGGGGAAACTGGCCCTGGTGTGAGCGCCTGTCTAGCGTCCTGCCCAGGGTGTAGCCTGCCTTGCGCCCTTTGCTCCCCCAGGATAGGCTCCGGCTCCCCCGGGACCCTGAATTCGGACAGAGTTGAGTACAAAATGGATGGGTGTCACCCAGAGAGTCTGAGATTCTTCCATCTTGGATCAGGAGCGCTTCTGTTTCAGGCGTTCTGCGGAGAGGGTTTAGGCGGGGGGCGATTATCCTGCTGACGGCGATCGGCGGCGGCGGCGATGGGGCGTTGATCGCCGTCTTCCCTCCCCTTGTCTTCCAGATCAATGTCGATTACACGGAGAAGACCGTTTCGATCAGCAACTACCCGCTGTCCGCTGCTCTCACCTGCGCCAAGATCTGCACCGCCTTCGAGGAGGTGTGGGGTGTGGTCTGACCTGCGACCTCCTCTTGGACGGGATTGGACTGGAGAGGACGGCTTCGACCAGTCAGCTGCCAGGACTGGTGCCGTAGGGTTATTTTTCCTCACAGCCTAGTTTGAGGGACGCCGAGCTGTCTCATGGGACACTGTGGGAATACAGCGAGGAGGTACTGGCCCAGTCCCTTTTCACTGTCCCTCACTCGCTGTGCTCTGTCAGCTCTGAGAGTGACCTGTTTAACACGGAGAGATGTTGGCAGCCAATCAGCATTCTTTGCGTCGGTATTCTGCCCGGTAACTATAATCCCCTCACCCTCATCCTCATTCTGATTGGACTGTTTGACAGTCCCCATGACCATCAGGTTTTTATCCGTATTCCAGCAATATCGGTTGATTGTTTACCCCATTCTCTTTTCAAAATAATTTGACCAGTGTACAAACCTGTGTTTTGTAGTACATGAAATGCTGTGTTCTTACAATAAATCTGTATTCTGTATCTGAGGAGTCTGTGTGTTTTGAAAGGGCTGTCATGGAGCATATAGTATTTTAAATATTTGAATTTTGGGGTGGCAGGAACGATCATAGCAGATTCCCTTGCTTTTAAGCTGAAGTGTTGTTTTTTTTTAGGGTGTTCACTTAGCTGCCGAGAACTAATGCATTCAGAGAATGGGAGCTTTCAAACTTCTATTCATATCCATGTCATTGCAACAGAAGAGCAGTTAAAAATGAGAAGAAGCCATCTGGCCCATTTGGTAGTCAGTAGCAAAGTGGATTTCATCCACTTGTTTCCTGAAAGACACCGGGGGATCATCTTGAACAACACGGCTGGGCAGCTTGCTCCACTCTCCCACAGCCCTTTGTGTAGAGTAGGGCCTCCTGTCCTACTCGGAAGATCTCCTCCAGAAGTCTCTTGCAAGAAGCCAGAGGATCAGCTTTAACAACATGGCTGGGGAGCTCGTTCCACTCTCCCACACCTCTCGGTGTCGAGACACACCTCCTGTCCTCAGTTCTGACTCCAGTTTGCTGTCGTTGCCACTTCTGTCCCCTGGTTCGTGTTAAACTGTTTTTTCTGAAGTCCAGGGCGATGACTGTGCCTTTGAGGGTTTTGAAAATGTGTATCAGGCCCACTTGTACTCTGCCCGTTTTATACCTCCTTGTGGGAAGTACTTTGCCATTTTTAATTTTGTGATGCACTTATTTAGTGGGGATGGCATGTTGCAGCCCTGGTTCAATTCCTGTGATGGACTGGCATGCGAGATCAGTCTTTTTTCCTTTTTTTTATTGGACATCAACTAATACAAAGGAGAAAAGAACAACAACGATTTTTTTTTGTCTTATGTTTCAAGTTTTTAATAGGGTTTAAGTGATAGTGATGGAGTTTAAGCCTCCTTACAAGCGTTAAAGAAGTGCAGGGAATAAACCTTCACATGCTCCTTGGATGTATCATTAGACCATTATGCTTTGTGGACATCATATTGACCCAGTATTACTAACAGGTTAATTATAAAAAAACGTTTTTTCCGTATCTTGCAACGTGAAACTACATCAAACGACCCGGAAGAACAAGTCGGGGGCGGAGGAGGCCAACGGTCTCGCACGAAGTCAGTTCTACGTTACGAGAAATTCAACCGATTAGCCCAAACTCTTGGTTTACTATTATGGTATCAGATGCCCTGATAAAGACATAAAACAACTGTGACGTCAGGAAGAAAATAAAGATATGCGCACAGCACGCTAACACTCTCATTCCAATGTGATCCCATGCAGCATTTGTTTCTCTCATGAGCTCCCCGTTGGTTTCGGAATAAATAAATTCGAATCGTAGTTTATTCTCTGTTAGCTATCCTTTGTTATCCTTTATTAAGATGAAAGTCGCTTTAAATGCGGTCAAAGCACAGATGCCGCTTCTATGGAACACTTGCGGCAGTGAAGAGGTTAACGTGCGACGTATCTGTACAAGCGCGTGGGAGGCGACCAGACCTCGTCTGGTTTCAACAAGGTCCGCCTGCAGGGAATATAGAGCGGGCACGGGGAAGCTGGAGAGCAATTGTTCTGTATCTGAATTATAGAGAAGATGTCTGGAAGAGGCAAAGGCGGAAAGGGACTCGGGAAAGGAGGCGCTAAGCGTCACCG